TGTAGCTACTGAAAGTAATGGATGTGAGAAGTCAAAATTTTTAAAAAGCAGTAGTAAGAGAGCATGGACTGTACTCTATGTATTCTTTTTAAAGAAGTTATCGAACTTTAGTAGTAAAACATAAAAAATTCTTTCAAGTGCCATTATCTGAGAATAAACTGCTGTACTTATATTTGCAAAATATGCATGTGTGAATCACCTTATGCTTTGAAATAAAAGGAGTAAATTATGTCTTTCAATTTTGCACTTGAGAAAACATCAAAAACTAGCCTTTACAATACCTCGGTCATCTGTGGTGATTTACTGACTTCACTTTTGTATGTTTCTTTTTGTGGATGAAAGAATATCCTAGTCTGGGAGACAAAGATGAGTATAGCAAGTTTGGGATGAAATAATGTATGGTTTTCTGAAGATCAGTGATGGAAAATGCAATTGCAAAGTTAAACCGCCTGTCATTCTTTCACAAATGTTTATGCTACAAAGCAGTTACACTGTGAATGACATTGACTTTGTGCAAAACAAGTATTTTTATTGATTAATAAAGAAAAAATGTATTTATATTGATGCAAGCATAGATCGCTTAGCTAAAGGTATTTAATCATATCAGGTATGACATGGTAACGGCATGTTTAAAAGCCAAAACAGTATTTCTGCAGTAATAAGTTAAATGGTGTTAAAAAGGTAGGAGAGATAATGCACACTGGCTTCTCATGCTAGTCACCTGTACTCAGCAATTTCTCTATCGATTTTGTATTGTGCTGCCTGAAATGAGCAAAGAGAGCAGAATGTGTATATGCCTTTGTGCATTTTTATATAGACATTTTATCTTTCTTCTAATGTTGAAATGTCTCAAATTTTATGTTTTGATGTACAACTGTATTGCTGTTCTGTGTCTGTCAGACCTTGTTACCTTAGATTTTACATATAAGAAAACACTTTTTTGTATACAGTGATGTAGGCTACATACAAATGGGGACATTTAAAATTTCCAAGATATTTGGTTTGTGCTATGCTAGTCATAAATTATTCTAGTTATTTCCTATTCTTGAATACTTAAGGCTTAACCCTTTTTTGCGTATAACTGGAGCATGTGCTTTGTTTTCAAATTCCCTTTACTTTGGTTACCTACTAAGAGATATCAGTCAACAGAATTAATGATCTGGCAGATTAATGCCTATATTTTATATAATGAAGTTATCAGACTTGTGATATGGAAAAAATGATATTTTATAGTTTCTAATTAAGACTATCATTTCATCTGGCAGAGGAATTTCCATGTAATAGTTTTTCCAAAAGAAATAAAAGTGGAGCACATGCATGTTATTTATTCACAGCAAAGGGTTAAAGTACCATCTCATGTTTCACTAGCTTTTAAGTTTAATATCCAAGATGCTATTTTATTTTTAAAGATTTAAATGAATGTATTTTTTTGAAAACGTTAATTTGGTTCTTACCAGATTAACTCCTTGTTGCATTTGTTGAGAATAAATGAAAATTAGTTTAATACCGGGCTTTTATTTTCCACAGTTATCTTGATGCATCATGTCATTTTACTTTTTTCAGAAGACTAATTTTCCATGAATGTTTTGGATGACATTTGTTTGATAAAACATATTCAAATTAAAGGTCCCCTTTAAATGTATTATTCAATGCCAATATCAGTTTTTAAAGGTATCTTAAAATACAGCACTACCTTTCTTAATAGGAGAAAGGTATCTTTCAACATCATGAGGGAATTTAGTATTTAAATAGCCTTATATATGCAAGTCAAACTTTCATATGTGAATTCTGTGTATGTTCCCCCCTTTTATTTAAATATGGAAGAATCAAACTCCAGGGTAAAGATATATATCAATAATGTTGCATAAATTTTCAATTGATGTATGTCATATTCAATGTTTTCTTCAGTGGTTCTATTGACAACTAAATTTCCCAAAAAAAATTTTCCCACATTTTACTATCTTTACTGTTTCTGCTCTTTCAGCTCATTCCAGTTTATTTACTCAATTCTTGTGGATTCCATACCAATGCAGGATATAGTAAGAACATCCCTTATTTTGGCCACATATGCAAATGCCCTCACCATGTTTGGTCTTAGTGATAGAATTTTGTATTGTTCAATTTCAACACTATTAATCACAAGGGTTTGATTTTGAAGTTGCGGTCTGTTGATGGTAAGGTGTGTTCATGTTGATAGTACTTTTAGCTCCTACTGGCCTCTTGCTCTTCATTTTATATACAAGTGATATGTGGTCCAACATTAGTAATCAATGTTGGTATATGCTGATGATACTTTTCTCTATGTTGACATTCCTTATTCGTCAACAAGGCAAATAGCAGAATAGTAGTCTCGAACAGTTACCTCAGCATCCAAGTCTGCTGATTAATAGAATCTTAATCAATTTAGTGAATAATATGAAGATCTTAAATGTGACCCTTGATTCAAAGCTTACAACTGAATTGCAAATTAAGAATATGGCCTGGGCAATTTCAACTAACTTTGCCATCCTTCGCAAATACGAAAAGATTTATGGTGACATTACTCATAAATGCTTCTTTTCTTTTATTCTACCACTTTTTGCACTCCTGTGTGGTTATCTGCACAAAGGCACACTTAAGACTACTTGATCATTCTTTTAATTCCATTAAATTTCTCTTTTGACTTCTGGATACTGGGCTTCGTAGGGATATTGGGGCTCTTTCGGTCTTATAAAAGATAGTAATTGATCATTCACATACACTCTATAACTTTTTACCAGCTTTTTATCAACCAGCGAGAGATACCAGAAATTATGTGACCCTCAATGACATTAGATGATCATGTACATCTCAGTTTCATAATTTTTTTTTTACTGCCATTTGTAGGCTTTGGAAAAGATTTCCTTCGGAGACATTCTGACCCTTGATAACTTTGAAAGATCAGGTATATTTTTAAGGTGTAAATAGTGATGGTTTTCTTTCTTCTCATTCTTTCTTAGCTGTGTATTGACCTACACCGACACCTTTGATGGTATAAATCTTGATTTTTTCAGTGTGGCTCTTAATATGGCTTACCATAATATTAGACATTAATAATAATATATGATCTTTATGGTTCCTGTTCTTATTCCACTTATTCCACTGTCTTTTTCATTTATCAATGAGACTGGTACTGTTTCTCATAACATGTACTGCTTTTTGCTCTAATCATACCAGACTACATGACATTTTTTGGTGTGATATTCCAAGAGTAAGAGAAAAATCTGGGGACAGGGGAGGGTGTTAGATATCAAAGATTAGAGGGTTTTGTAGGAGAGTATGGTAATGAAAAGGGAAAGGAGGGAAGTAAATGCAGTAGATGCAGAAATATCTTGAGTAGATGGTGGGGGAGCAGAGCATAGGACTGTTTTGGAATAAGTTGAGAGAGAAAAACCTCGTCGTAGTGCTCCCTGTCTGGCCTGACGTAGAGTGAAGCCTAGTTTAAATCTGAGGACTGCTACCTCACATTCAAACTTGTAGGCAGGGCAGCTCCTATAAAACACATTATGGGAGTCTCCACAATTGGCACATGTACGTGATTGAGCAGGGCAATTTGGATGGTCATGACCAGGTTGGGCGCATATAGGACAGCGGGCTGTGGAGCATCAATTTTGGCTGGGTGGCCAAAACGCCAATATTTTTGACATTGTCAAAGAAGAGGTCGATATGTCAGACATGATAAGACAATCTACCAATATAAACCTCATGGGGGAGGTCCTGTTTATGGAAGCTAATCTTGGCAATATTGACATGAGATTTACATTGGCCTCTATGAGGAAGAGTGTAACACTGTACTGCTACAGCATCATATTCACCAAGGCAGGGAAGCTCATTTTCAGAGACCTTGTTATACATTTGGGGGAACAGACAGTTCCAGGACTAGTATTAAGAATTGGGTGAGGTTTGGTAGGAATGGGTTTGCCAATAAGGTCAGTTAGGGTAGAAAGTGCATGGGCTTGGGCTTCAGATGTAAACATGACAAGATGTGACTGATCAGAGCAACTGTGAAAGGTAACCTTGCCTACTTGTTTCTGGAGGCATTGCTGAAAGAGAAGGGTATTCTCAGAATAGGGGGCTGTGGGGGGAATCAAAGAATCAATCCCACTTAGGTGGGCCAAATAGACTACTCAGAAGGTTTGCTGAGGTAGAGGTTGTAGAAGGACGAGAGGAAGATGGGGTGGTGTGTAGTGGAGTAGTTCTGCAGGGAGGGGGGGGAGGATAATAAGGATGAAGAGTAATAGTAAGGGAAGAGGGGGTTGACATTGAAGAGGGTTGTGCAGCAGGAGATGAAGAGGAGGTTGTCGCGGATGAGGAAGATGTGTTTTCTAGGAGTTGAGTTATAACCTGGGTGGGTGTTTCAGAATGGTTAGAGTTGTTCGTAAGCGTTGAAGAGGATATTAGCATCAGTGGTCGGAGCCGAGGTCAAAGGAGGGGCAGGGGTCGGAAAACCATCAAAATCAAATTCAGATAGGCTATTTGATGACGGGACAAGCCTTAATGCCTCTATTAAGGGTCAAGAATCTTCATTACTTGGTCATGGTGAGCCTGAATAAACTTGGGAAAAGAAATGGTCTACCCCTTAGGGTTTCCTTAAGGGGTAAGGGCTAAGTAATTAACCAAGGGAATATTGTGTCTATGGCTCCTGGAGGCTGTTCGTGACTGACACAAAGCCAGCCTTTCATCCTTTCAGCATGGCTCCTCACACCTTAGGAATGGGATAGAAGAAGTGTGTGTGTGTGTGTGTGTGTGTGTGTGTTTGTGTGAATGCATATTCTGAACTCTATATGCAAGTCTTAAATATGGTCTTGTATTTAGTTAAAAAGGAGGAATTATTACTTGTAAAACGAGGAAAATCAAGAGTATGTGATATCATGCATATACAACCAATCATTCATTCATACATTTCAACACTTATGGATTATAGCCAATCCTGCTTCTGTTTGACAAAGACCAATTCACCAGCAATATCAAAAGTTTTCTCAAATAAATTAATTCATTCGAATAAATAATCTTAAAAGAAATTGTCTCAAAAGTGTGCCTAGTAGCAGATCTGCTCATAAAAACAATTTGGGGGATATACAAATATATGAATTTTATTAAAATTTATTATCTATTAAACTATGTACACACAACATGGTTAAATAAAAGTAGTATCAAGTACTTGAACCTTGTTTTTCTGCTTCCATTTGCTCTCTTCTCAATTGTTTTGTGAGATCTGATTGTTGTTGCAACACGTACAAATTCTCTGCTTTTCTTCGCTGTTGCCTTTCAACGTCTTTTATGACACCTTCATGGAGCTTCTCTCTATAAATAAAAAAAAAAGAAAAAAAAAAGAAAAAAAAGAAAGAAAAAAAAGTTAATTTTCACATATTACCGAAGTAGATTACAAAGTAGAAGTCTTCAACTATTTAAATGGACTCTGTGTAAATGGAAAGAGGAACATTTCATAACTGTATCAAATACTTTATAATACGATTAATGGAAATCTATTATAACCAAAAGCCTTAAACAGTCAAAGTAACATAAATGATGTGAATAATGGAAAACTATTCAACTTTTTATCAAACAAATTATTGATGAAAAGAAAGTGAAACATAAATGCATGTCAGAAAACCACTCAAAACACAAAATAGGCTTATTGTACAGAGTGGGGTTTTCTGCAGTACATTTACATGATACAGATTCTATCATATATATGTATACATTTTATATCCAATATCAATATATATTCTATCTTCTACAAAACTTCAATTCAACAGTTTTATTACATTCAGAAAATCCTGAAGAATAATATCCAATAACTTCTTTAGTGATTACATTTACAGTTATAGATGGATAAACCCTCAAATTTCTTACCTATCAATATTCTGTTTTATGTGAACATAACCTACAATGGCAGCTGTAGCCACACATGAAGCTCCAAGAGTTACTTTTGAGGCAAGCGACATGTTCTGGGGAAAAATGAAAAGTTGATCACAGTAAGTAATGTACACTGAAATATTGCTAGTGTATTTGAGACAATGTATTCCTTGTCTTCCTAAGGTAAAATGATATGACAGAAAAAAATGGCCTTGTGGTATAACAGTCCTGGACCTAAGGGCTTTATGATTATATTCAATTCTATTACATTTTCATCAACAGGAGTGGCATCATAGTGACAAATGAAAGATATAGTTCAGAGAAAATAAAGAGTACAAACTCTATGAAAGGACAATAGGAACAAGAAAAACTAGCATTTACATAAATGATACCAAACATCTATAAAAGGATACTAGGAACAAGAAAAACTAGCATTTACATAAAGGATACCAGTATAAAATAGCCACCCATTATGCTGGGAGACCAAAGGCATGGCAGCCATTTGAACTTCCATTAATTCCTGCACTGATCATGAATACATATAATATATACACCTTTCTGAATGTGTATGATTTCCTGCTTAGCTATCCTCTGATACTAGGACTACTGAAGAGGGTAAAAACATAACAAAACAAAATTACACCAAATAAATAGTTTGCAATAATTATAAGCTCCATGAAAGAAATGACAAAGTAACTTCTTTTGCCTGAATTAATCAGAAATTTAATGATCAGAAAAGAATCCCACTAAGCACTGGCCTCTATGATCTGACAAAGACCGTAAACCTCCCCAATGTATATTTGGCACAATAGAGCTTGGACTTGTTCTTTATTTGAGAGGCTAACATGTTCTATCTTCTTCATAGAGCACAGATGCCTTAGTATCATTTGACTTGGCCATGTGAGCACAAACTTGTAGACTTTTGGTAAATGATTATAACCTTACCTTTACTTTCTGCTGACTACTTCTTAGACCTCATAGTGTTGCATTTTGTTCTTTAAGGCCATTACTTTAGCTCTTCTATCTTCACATAATATTCTAAACATCTATCTGAGATTATTCATTTATTTTAAGCACATTTACATGCTCTGTCATGTTGCAAAAATTCTCTCATGTACCATCTCTCTCTCTCTCTCTCATATATATATATATATATAATATATATTATTATATATATATATATATATATATATATATTATATATATATATATATATATTTATATTGTTTTTGTAATACAATATACTTACATATCTTGGAAAATTGAATAACAGCCTTGGTGAAATCACATTATGTGATACTACCCTTCCCCAACAGTGAATTAATGAATGACTGTCACTAAAGCAATATTTCGAAGGCTCCCACATTAACCTTCAAATCAGGCCTTTTTTCTTGTTATTACACTGGCTGTTCTATTTAACTTCCTAATCTTTGACAGCTGCCCCACAATCTGCAGAAGGTCTACCAGATCTATCTTACAAGGATTTGTGTGCATGCTTGTTACCTTTACTTTAAGCACCAACAGGTGCAGAGGCCATGCTGCTCTAAGTCAGATTATTGGTTATTAGAAAGTGACTACTGGTACGACAGAAAAGCCCTATTGGCATCCTGCATGTGTTGTGAA